GAGCTGGGCACGCTCAGATCACCACCCGCCACGTAGCAGCCTCTACAGTGAGAACTGGGCATGCTCATATCACCTCCCGCCACGTAGCAGCCTCTGCAGTGAGAGCCAGGCACGCTCAGATCACTACCCGCCACGTAGCAGCCTCTACAGTGAGAACTGGGCATGCTCATATCACCACCCACCACGTAGCAGCCTCTACAGTGAAAGCTGGGCACACTCAGATCACCTCCCGCCATGTAGCAGCCTCTGCAGTGAGAGCTGGGCACACTCAGATCACCTCCCGCCATGTAGCAGCCTCTACAGTGAGAGCTGGGCACACTCAGATCACCACCTGCCACGTAGCAGCCTCTACAGTGAGAGCCGGCCATACTTAGATCACCACCCACAGGGGTGCAGGGATGGGAACCGAGGACTTCCATGTTCATGCAGGTCTTTGAAAACTAAAGTTATCAAGGAAGTCAGGCTGGAACTTGCTGCGCTCACTGACAACGAGTAGACACAAATCACCAGCAGTCCCCACCTCCCACTCTGCATGTGAGGCCTCAGAGACCTAAGTTTAGCTGTGAAAATGGAAGACGAGGGACAGTAAGCACCTAGGCTCTGGCTCAACCCCGCCAGAGGTCACCCTGTCCTGTGTTAACACAGGCATGGGCAGCCACATGTGCTGGGCTTCAGGGAGGTGCCCCTCACAGCACCACACATCCAACAGCACCTCCTGCCAGTGAGTCACCATGGAGACGCTCTCCTCCCAGTGAGACACCATGGAGACGCTCTCCTCCAGTGAGACAGGATGGACACGCTCTCCTCCAGTGAGACATGATGGAGACGCTCTCCTCCCAGTGAGAAACCATGGAGACACTCTCCTCCAGTGAGACAAGATGGAGACGCTCTCCTCCAGTGAGACACCATGGAGACGCTCTCCTCCCAGTGAGACACCATGGAAACGCTCTCCTCCCAGTGAGACAAGATGGAGACGCTCTCCTCCCAGTGAGACGCGATGGAGATGCTCTCCTCCAGTGAGACACCATGGAGACGCGCTCTCCTCCCAGTGAGACAAGATGGAGACACTCTCCTCCCAGTGAGACGCGATGGAGACGCTCTCCTCCAGTGAGACACCATGGAGACGCTCTCCTCCAGTGAGACACCATGGAGACGCTCTCCTCCAGTGAGACACCATGGAGTCGCTCTCCTCCAGTGAGACACGATGGAGACGCTCTCCTCCAGTGAGACACGATGGAGACGCTCTCCTCCAGTGAGACACGATGGAGACGCTCTCCTCCCAGTGAGACACGATGGAGACGCTCTCCTCCCAGTGAGACACGATGGAGACGCTCTCCTCCAGTAAGACACGATGGAGACACTCTCCTCCAGTGAGACACGATGGAGA